AAATATAGATGAAGTTTTTAAACAATTAGCACATGTTAATAACTTCATAATATATCTATATATTTTATAATAAAAATAATTTTAATTAAAAAATTAAAAATAACTATAAAACAATATAAATAAATTAAAAAATATAATAATAATATAAATATATAAAATTATAAAGTACAAAAATTGATTAACAAATAACTCTGCACAGCGCGCAGATCAAACTTAGTTCACTTAATTTCCAACAGAATTTGCTTCTGGGTTATTTGTTTTAATTAGAAGAATTTTTTTTTAACATTTATTAGAAGAATGTTATTAATGAATCGTTTTGAATAACACTTTTTTTGCAATTGGTTTTGAATAACACTTGTATTTAATTATACTAATAACATAGAATTTTGAAATCAATGATCCAATAATATGTGATTTTGTTTAAATTTGAGAATATTATTTTGGATCAAAATCTATAAACCATAGGTCCATAACTCCCACTAAACTTCGACAGGTGACCACTTAAAACCAACCAATGTTTATTTAGATCAGTTTTCGTATGGATGGGTTTAAATTTAATTTACATGCGCATGCGTGATGCATACGTAATGATATTATTTGTTTTTTTTTAATATACAGATATGCAGATATCTTATGGCTCCGGGATCCATTTCCCCGGTTCTTTTCCAACGCAGAACTCTTCACTTAAGAAATTTTGTGTACATATCAATAACCAACTGTCCCAAAATTCCCAACCTCCAATAATAAAAAACTTAAAGTTCAAAAAAAAAAAATAATAGAAAACTTTATAAATCAGTATAGAACACGTGCTACGACTTTTATAATATAGTGCAACTCCAGCTAGAGAGTCCCAAGAAGACACGACCAATATGTTTTCAACTTCATCAAGAACGAACCATTCATTGCGGAACTCGGGATCACGATGAGGTTCTTAGACACGTTTATTTTGGTGGGTTTTGTCAGCCGAGCCTAGACATCAACGTGGTTAATACTTAATACTATGCATACAAATTGTTGTGTTGGTTAAAGCATCTTAAAGTCGCTCTTGAGGATTGGAAACAGTATTTGTTGATGACTACGACCGTAACCGAGACTAAGGTGTGGTTATTAGAGGCTGTGAATCTACGAGGTCACGATTCAACATCATTTCAATATAAATTAGGATGTTATATTCAAAAATATTGTCATTTTTTTTTACTTTTCTTTATTATGGTAAATTAGTATGTACTATTCAAAAATAAGGTTCTTTGAAAGTAAGATTGTTACTTGTTAACGTTGAGGATGACAGGAAATAAAAAGGAAAATGCTCCAAAATTCACTATAGTCAGAATTTCCCAACTAAAAATATGTTACTAAATTGGTATTTAGGAAAAATAAAATGAAATATTAAAACATAAAAACATATTGTAATCCAAGAAATAGGAATATATTTAAACATTAATCACTGTCTCAAGCCAAAATTTTTTTGACTAATTTGCGTTTGGCCATAATGGTTATAATAAAATATAATTATATTATTGTTTCAAGTTTATAAAAATTATTTTATTTATTTTTCAAATTCACTGATATGATATTTTCTGATAGATTTTATATTTTTGAAAACATTTTCTTTTGTTTTTTAACAAATATTTTAAATTTGAACTGAAATATCTCTCTATAAATTAATAAAATATTAATTTCTTGATAAATTAATAATTAATAATCTATCGATTAATAAATAACTCTATAAATTAATAAATTTTTGAAGTCCCAACGTTATTAATTTATAGAGGTTTTACTGTATGTTTGGGGGTTACCCACTAATTAAAACAAAATTAATATTTTTATATAAAATATGTTGAAAATTTTGAAATATTTTGCAATATATATAAAAATTAGCTAACATTTTTATTTTAGATTTCAAAAATAAGTTTCACATTTATATTTTTTTATTAAATATTTTTTACTAAAAATTATATAAATATATATTATTTTTAATTTAAATATTTGCAGATTACCCATGGCCCTTGTTCGAAAACGGGCCGCCGCGATCGATTAGTCGGAGTAAAAGTGTTCGGCAGCTTCCGACCGCAGCGATTTCAACCTAATCGGTTGAAAATTCTGTTAGCAAAAAAATCATATTTGTATTCATTTCGCTTAAATAACGACATTTCTTTACAGATCTATGAATTTTGGATAAAAATTTGACAGAAATCGTAAAATGTAAATGGTATTTTCAAAAAATGTAATGTAAAAATGATATAAATCAAAATTATGGAGCCATCAACCGCATCAAACTGATATTTTTTTTTTTACAAATTTAAGCTATCTTGAGCCTCAAATTTGTTTTCTTATTTTAAACTATAAGAGTTATAGATCTTCGATTCATAGTTATCATCCACACTCGAAAACAGTTGGTAAAAACTATGACAATAAGCTGTGGTTGTAAAAAGTACGACTGTTACTTTATAAAAAAAAATTTAAGTATGATTGGTAATAAAAAATTATAAAATTGTTTACTTTATATATTATAATTTTTTGAAAAATGTTATTTTGACTAAAATAGAAATTATATATTTTTATTTTATAATGATTTTAAACATATAGAACAAATAATTTATTTTTATTTTTTATTGAACTTTTTTAAATTTAAAATAAATAAATTTACAATTTAAATAGTTATATGGTAAATTAGATCTTAAAAGAAAGAGAAAAAAGAGAAAAAGTAGTCACAATTAATTTATTAAAATTTAGTTGTTATCAAATTTAGATAATGTGAGAGACGAATTTTGTTTTTTTTTTGGGAAAAAGAAAGAAAAATAATTGATTATTTTATATATTTATATTAGATAATTAAATTAAAAGGTAACAAAAACTAAAACACAACCGAGAGAAAAGAGAGAGGAAAAAGAAAAATGAGAAAATTGAATTAAACAGGTGATTGTAGAAAAGATCGAAGAAAAATTTGAAAAAGATTTTAGAAACTGTTAAATATTATAATGCTTTGAAAATGTGATTGACCAATTTTTCAGTGTTAAGACTCTAAAACATTTTACAACCCTTAAAACATTTTAATACATTTTATAACTCTAAAGGAGAGCTTTGGGTGTCTAAAGTAAAATGTCTTACTAATAAAAATGAATAAAAAAAGTGAAAAGGTCTAAAACGCAATAATTTTGCTAATCAGAAAAACCTGCGGAAAAACGTAAAAACACAAGATCTGTAGAAATTGCGTTTTTACTTATAAAAAATACAAAGAAATCTTCATTAAGCGGAAAAGTATGTTTGAAGTAGATTATCTTCAGAATCAATATTTATTTTATTTAATTATATAATTAATTATATTTTATTATTTAAATAAATACAAATAACAAAATATTTTTAGGATTTTTTTAATGAGTTCTCCATTGGGGTTGGTACTCAGTAATATCAATTGGAGTCTTTGGAAATTACGATTTAAAGAATAATTTTCTATACCAAATAAAGTTTAAACCCATAACACAAATAAACTAACCCCCCTGCACAAATATTAGACCATCACACTTTCAGTGTCCACCCATCTCAAGATCGCATCACGTTTTTATTATACATAAAGTGCATAATCTCAATAAACAGAGAGACCAATTTCTTCAAATTTTCAATTTTTTTTAAAAGTTTGATGGGTACATCATATGAATAATATAATAATCGAATAACTGAACAAATACAAGTATAAATAAATGTGCTATATTAAGTACTCCTATAATAAAATGTAAAATCTAAAAACCATTTTCAATTCATTAATCACTTTTATTTATTTTAATTATATTTTAACATGCTAGTTATATATATAGTGAAATATTTTTTAAAACTACGAATGATTAAAAATAGTAGAATCATGTTTTAGGAACATTGAAAATATGAACAAATAGTTGTAGGATAGATTCATCATCTTTAGAAAACAAAAATTCTAAATATCTTAAAGGATATTTCAGAAGTAATACAAATTTAGTTTTAAAATAGAAAGAAACTAACAGATGCATTAAAATTGTATAGCAGATATCAAATCGCGAATAAACATATCAAAATCATGTATCAGGCATTAATTCATGAATTGTTTGTTTGTTTCCACTTCTATGTTCCAAACAATATCACCGAAGCTTTACATTACAAAATTTGTAATTCGGTTTCTAATTAATACAAAGTAGACGTTAAATAAATAAAAAAATACACTAAATCATGAATAAACACATGATTGGACTTATTGGACTTACATAGCTTCAAATGTTGAAAAAGGCAAGGCATTAATCAATTCAATATGTTTAAATTTATTTTTCTTCAAGATTTATTTATTATTATGTAATCATCAGGGCAAATTAAGAACGTAATGATTCATTAGAATTTTATTTTTTTATACTAATCAATATTCAAAAAAAAATTAATGCTCGTATATATGAACCCTATACCAAATTATTAATAAAAATCTAATTTTTAAGTTTACTGGCTATCTATTTACATAGAAATCAATGCTCGTATTTGTTAAATATATAAATTATTAATGGAGCTAAATCACAATCTGCATCTAAATTTAGTTTTGTATACGGATTTTTCAATGTGTATTTTATTTATTTTCATTTGATTTATGTATATTCATTTCCCTTTAAATTTGTATTTTTTCATTGCTTTCCTTTTAAGTTTCATTTTTTGTTCATTTCATTTTGCATCTAAATTTAATATAATAAGATAGAAAATAGACCTTTATATACACACAAATATTTATAAAAGTCATAAACTTTTGGTTAACAAAAAAAAATATTCATAAAATCTTGGGAAATAGTAACATACAGTATGTGAAGTTTAAACTACATCCATGTTATGTAAGTGTATAAATACGTGAAAATAACCCATAAAATATACACACTACACCTTACATCCAATCATCTGTCATCATCACACAATGGTACATACGAATTCAAATAAAGTCTCTCTTTAACTAAGTATGTTATATTTCCCCCTAACAATATTACTTTTGGATGTTGTAGGAAATCATGCATGTTGTGTTCGTGTTGACTATACTCTGTTTTGGTCTTGCAAATGGCCAAATCTATGATGTGCTTAAATTTGGTGCTAAGGGAGATGGTACAACCGATGATTCAGAGGTACCATACTTCAAAATATTATTCAGATTTTTTTGTAGTTTTAAGTTTAAATGCATTTTTTTTACTAATCATATTGCATATATATATTGGACGAGAAAGAAAATTTGTATATACAACACACACTTATAGTAGTTTTCTTGTAGTAAAAAAAAATCATGAATTGGAATCATATTCAAATACAGTAATTGAACGTGCTAAAAGACTGGTTATGTTTCAAGCTTGTAAAAAGCGTTTAAGATGTCATGAAATTTCTCATCAAAATTGCTTCAAGATTCATTCACTACTTTAAAAAAACGTCCAAAGAAGCCAAAATTTGAGTACGCATTACTATTATTTTTATTTTTACCATTACCTTTTTCCTATAAGTAGATCATAATTTGATATAAATTTTAGTTATTCCTTGACTAATTTTAAAAATTTGATTTTTTTTGGTGTGGAAAAGGCTTTTGTAGAAGCATGGAAAGCTATGTGTAGTTGCGGTGGAGGGAACAAAACACTCCTTATTCCTTCAAATAATATTTTCTTACTACAACCTCTAGTGTTTCAAGGCCCTTGTAAATCACCTTCTGTACAAGTTCAGGTATTATTTTAAAAAAATAAACACTGGTAATTTTAAATTTTATATACAAATTTACGTGATGACAAAAATATGTGTGGATATAAAATGTATATGTAATCAATTTTGCAGTTTGATGGAAATATCGTTGCCCCTATCAACAAAGCAGCATGGTCAGACTCGAAGGCCAATGCATGGGTTGCTTTTAGTGGCATAATTGGTTTAAGAGTCACTGGCTCAGGAACAATCAATGGACGTGGTTCTTCTTTTTGGAAGGTGAGTTTTTTTGTTTATATATAATTGAAGATATAAAATTGATTTAATTACATATATTAAATGTGAATTTAATATTGTTCTTATATTTTTTTTATATATCCAGCCAAAGTTGTCTGCTACTCAACGGCCTACTGTGAGTATATATATATATATATATATTTTTTCCAACTCTAAATTCTGTAACGAAAAGGGTTATGATGAAATTTGTTTTTTCTATTTTTCTTGTAGCAATTGCATTTTCAAGGATGCAATAATCTTCAGATAACTGGAATAACTTCAGTCAATAGCCCAAAAAATCATATTTCAATCAGCAATTGCAAAAATGTTGTCATAACGAAGATAAAACTTGTTGCACCCGATCTGAGTCCTAACACCGATGGAGTTGATATCTCAGGTTCAAGTAATGTCAACATATTCGACACTATCATTGGAACTGGTATGTAGTTAGTTATCTCTCGTTTTGCAACCATTAGATTTTCAATATCAAAATGGCAACAAGGTTATTTGAGTTTCAAAAATTTATATCTTTTCAGGAGATGATTGTGTAGCTATAAACACTGGAAGCATAAATATCTACATCACAAGGATGTTTTGTGGTCCTGGGCATGGAATAAGGTATTTATTTATATTTGTATGTATTAACGCAACTATTAATTTCTTCAATTACATAATGAATTTTGTTCTCTATCTTTATAATTAAATTTCAGTGTGGGAAGTCTTGGAAGAAATGGTGAAGAATCTGAAGTTGAAAATGTCTTAGTGACTGATTGCACTTTCAATAAGACGGATAATGGAGCAAGAATTAAGACATGGCCGGTAAGGATTTTTTAATTATATTTGTTTGTATAAAATGTAAATGAAGTGTTAATAGTGATTTAATTTTTTCTGATATTTTATTTGATTGTTTAGAATGGAAAAGGATATGCAAGAAATATAGCTTTTAAGAACATCAATCTCATAGACACAAAAAATCCGATTATAATCAACCAAAATTACATAGATAAGGGACGTATTCTTGACGTTGAGGTAAATATCTTTCCTTTTAGTAAAATATAAAAGTCTTTGATCTATAATTGTGTTGATATTTTGGAGTATAATTTATGTTAACAGAAATCAGCTGTGGCAATTAGCAACGTGACATTCACAGATATTCATGGAACGTCACAACTCGATGAGATTGTGAAGATAGATTGCAGCAAAGTCACATATTGCAAAAATATCATTCTAGATCAAATCGATATTACAACGGTCAATGGAAAGAAGCCCATCGTTGAATGCAATAACGTATATGGAAAGTCGAGCAATGGTAACGAGATTGATGGTTGTTTCATGCAACAATAATCACTGTTGGTATACTCATGTGATGGTATATTAACTTTCATTATTTATAGATTTAGTCTTCATGAGAAATAATTTTATACACAGTGGATGTAATAGTATATCAATTATTATACATGTATGGTTCCAAAAGGTAATTTTATATGTAAGATCATGTCGGTATACTCATGATATATGATTGCCATTATCTAAATCAAACCCAAAATGTTTATTGCACCTACTTATCAATAATACCAAATGAGCAATATAATCTAAAACGAGTTCTATACCAAATGAGCAATATTGTTAAAGGACGTAATTTAAGACATAAAGTTGAAAATATCCGACTATGTCTAAAGTTGTGTGGCCTTGCCTACTTATGTGGTTAGAAACTATGACCAGATGGTATATATCGGGGAACACTATGATCAAACAGAAGGAAGTGGAGAAGGTGGACGTAACTTCATCGAATAGTCTGCACTAATTATCCTCTTAGTCATGTCCTAACTCAACTCCTAAGAATACCCTTTGGACAAAAATATCTTTTGTTTTTATTCGTACATTTTTCATCATTAGCCCGTATCTTAAATTTTAATGAAAATCTTAAAAAAACAAGATTTGTTTGTTTATTTCCTTTTTACTACTGCCACCAAGGCACCAACTAATAAACTTTCCTTTACTAAATTCCTTAATGTAAAGAGGATCCCCTGAAACTTGTTTAGGAGTAACAACTCTTATTACTTTACTAACTAAATTAATGATAACTAGGTTATTACCCGCGCTACGCTGCAGGATATAATTCTGAATTTTATATATTTTTAAAATAAAAAATTATTTTTATAGTATAAATAAATATTATATTAATTTTGTATTTAGCAATTTGTGCCTTGATTGTTTCTCTATCTAGATAGTTTTTTTTTGAATAAAAATGACAATTTAGTTAGTTTTGTAACAAAATCAAAACACATTCAGATAAATTATCTGTATGATTTTTGAAAATTTAGACAAATTTATGAGAATTATCCATCAAAAATTGAGAAATCACATTATTACACCAAAACAAAAAAATTATAGTTTCCTGCTCAAGCCGAGAAATGTCATTATTCCGTCAAATCGGAAAATTTTATTTTCCTGCCAAAACTGTCAAATTACATTTTTTCCGCCAAAACCAAGAAGTTATGTTTTACATAAAAATTGAGATATCATATTATCCATCAAAAATCGAGAAATTGCATTTCTCATCAAAATCAAAAAATCGCATTTTTCGTCAAAACCTAGAAATTTTGTTTTTCTATCATAACTGAAAATTTTCCATTTTCCTGTCAAAACAGAAAATTGTCTTTTCCCGTAAAACCGAGAAGTTTGATTTTCCCATCAAAACCGGAAAATCATTTTTTCTGTCTAAATCGAGAATTTTTGTTTTTCCAAGAAATTTCATTTTTTTCAGTCAAAACCAAAAAATTTCATTTTCCTGCAAAACCAAAAAAATTGTATTTTCCTGTCGAAACCAAAAAATTTCATTTTCGTGTCAAACATAATTACGAAAATATGAAGTAATTAGTATTATTTATTTGTGTGACTAACATTTTTTATTTATTTTCAGTTTGTGTTTTTTTTAAAAGTTTTTTTGAACACTTTTTTATATATGTTATAATTAGGTGTAACCAAGAAAGAATGCGATATGGTGCTCGTGTAATTTATTATCATAATTATGATTATATTATTTTTGATCAATCCAATAAATTTTAGACTAAAATTTAATTTTGTTTTCCTTTTTGTGATTATATGCAAGATATAAAATTGTAAATACAAATTAATGTAAGTTTCTATTAACTAATCAAATCAAATTCAAGTATATTGCTAACATATTGACATGTTCTATTGGCTCAAAATTCAAATGAACCAAGATCACCTTAAATTTTAACTGATCATACATCTTTTAATTCAGGATGATATCATGTGAAGCCAATCCTTAGCTTTGATTAGCTGCATTGGTTTAAAGCAAACTGACTTTCTTCTCTACAATTTCTCCTTCGCTTTCTCGCCTTCTAACATAGTAACTTAATGATAAAAGATTATAAAATATGTTTGATGAGAAAAATATTAAAAATCCAAAACTGAAAAATAAATATCTTAAAAAAACACACTTTCTCCATTTTCGTATAGAATATTTTAAGATTATATAAATTAAAAAATCTAGTACAAAAAATTTGTAACCTAATTTATTATCAATTAAGTTTTCATTTATTAATTAATATAAGGATAAAAAAGTTATTTAGAATCATTTTTTCATACATTTCTGAAAACATCATATAATTTAAAACAAAAAACCTTTAAAACATCATATAAAAAAATAGAGGGAGTATTAAATTGATACTACTACTAAAATAACCAGATCATACTTTAAATTGATAAGTAAGAAAAACATAAAACGGATCAAATATGTACTTTAATTTCTATAATAGTCAATAGCTCATAGATTAACTAAAGCCAATCATTTTCTATAGTTGTTGCTGAAACTTTAAATTATTATTTACCAGATTCATTTGCACATACAGTATTTGTTTTACATTTCTAAAAATTATTCATATTTGATTCTACAATTTGTTGTAAATTAAAGATCCAAAAGTTTAAACCAAAAAAACTGAAGATAGTTTTCAAGATAGCATTATTTAAGGTGGATTTGTTTTTAGGAGCAGGAAACTCTAGTAAAGAGAAAGAAAATAAGAGAAGAAAGAAGTTTGAGATTGGTTTTATTTTATCCAGAATAAAAAAATTAATTCACCATACACATGCGTGGTAGTAGTAGAAATACTTCATATATTCCAAAGTTGAAAAATTATCTTCTTAACGAAATAATTAAAAATGATATTGTCAATAAGTATAAGCAACAAACAGTGCCGTGCCAATGCTTATGAGAGCATGAGGCAAAAATCAAATAATTATCTTTTATATATTATTAAACAGTAATTTTAATATTTTTTTTTTCAAAAAGTTTGTTAAAGTGCCAACAGAAAAAATATGAATGGGACTTATTAAAAAAATAACATTTATTTTAGTATGGTGGTTGGTTTTGAACTTAGGAGTGGAATCTCAAAATAACAAATTTTAACCATATTTTTACTATTATATTATTATTATTTTTTAGGAATTAGAGTCTCAAAATTATTTATTATCTTTAAAACATGAAGCAAATGCATTTTTCATAACATGGTAGGCACGGCTCTCGCAACAAACATGAAATAGTTTATCTTTTAATCAAAAATAATATGGACATTTCAGTTATTTTGCAACAACAAAATATATAATATGCAAACCTTCAATTATATATATATATATATGCAAACCTTCAATTATATATATATATATATATATATATATTGTTTTCTGTAATTTACAATTGGAAAAAGTATCTATTTATTTTGAACAAAAAAAAATGTCTACTTGTTTTGGGCTTTTAAAAAATATCATTTGTTTGGGTTTGGATTAATGGATTTAGTAAAAAAAATAACAAAAATCAGTATATAAAATAATATGATGTGTATTATTGAAATGTTTTGATTGGTGATTTTTTTTGCTGAAGTGTCAACTTTAAAAAGCTTGAAAAAACTGATGTGTCAAACTATAAAAACACACAAAGGTATTGTTGTATTGATTTCCTTTTTTCCTGATCGTTGCGTGTAAAAAATAGGAAACCATTATCCTTTTTGAAAAAGGAAAAAAACAAAACCAATCCTCTACATATATACACGAGGGCTCTCGCTCTCGCTTCTAACACTCACCCTATTAGGTTTCTCGCATCCGTCTCTCTCTATAAGACGTTTTTGCTTGGAAAGAAAGTCTTTTCTTTTCTTGGTTTTGTTAGATCCGCCGAATTGTTGCAAATCTGTCTCTGATTTGTGTGATTATAACTCGTCGCTTCAGATACAGCAACTTCAGAATAATTAGGGTTTCGCAACCGCACGGGTTTTGGGATCTGTAGAGAAACGAAGGTATTTGTAATCAAGTAAGAGAAACTATCTCCAACGACATGGAAAGTAATCGTCAGGTTGAAGCTAGAAGAGCAATAGACATCGCTGAGACGAAAATCTCAGAGAATGATTACGTAGGAGCGAAGAAATTTGTCAACAAGGCTCAGTATTTGTGTCCGAATCTTGATGGCTTGAAACAAGTTTCGATGATGATCGATATTTATATCTCTGCAGCAAGAAAGATCAACGGAGGAAGAGAAACCGACTGGTACAGAGTCCTTGGTGTAGATCCTTTGGCTGATGATGAAGAAGTAAAGAAACAGTACAAGAAGTTAGCGCTTTTGCTTCATCCGGACAAGAACAAGTGTAAAGGCGCTGAAGGTGCTTTCAAGCTGGTTTCAGAAGCTTGGTCTCTGATATCTGATAAGGTTAAGAGGGCTGATTATGATCAGAATAGGAAGTCGAAAGAAGTAAAGACGGCTTCTTGTAACAACAAGCCTGCGCCTGTGAATAATCCATCAACACAGAGAAGAGGCGGTACCTTTTGGACAATGTGCCATGGATGCAAGACGCAATGCGAATATCTGAGGGATTATTATCTTAACAGGGCCATACTTTGTCCAAACTGTGGTCAGACTTTCATTGCAACCGAGAAAACTCCATCGGCAAGTTTTGCGAGTCCGTTCAAATTCTCATCATCTCCTCAACAACAACAATGTCAAAGTAAAGCAGCAAACAAAAACACAAAGGCCAAAAAGGTAAAGCTCAGAACATCTGTTTGTTTTCCCACGAGTTGTTCAGTGTCAGCGAGGGACAGTTACAGTAGCGGAAAAGCCTCAAATCAAGCACAAGAAAGATCCAAAAGAGTTCTTCAAGAAACGTTAGAGATTGTTCGTGAGATAAAGAGTAAGACTTTAATTATCAGATATTCGGATGTAGAAGTTGCAGAATCCTGCTTTTTTTTTTTTTTTTTTTTACCTTTAAGTGATTTTTTATGAATTTTTTTCATCTCTAGGCTATAATATTATTGTGGAACAAGAGCAAGTTCTTTCATCTTCAATGTGTTATGTCCTTCTCCTAAACATCTCTGTGATGTTGAAATGTTAATCTTTTCAAGAATTGGAATCTTTTGTATATATACATCTGTTTTTTCACAGTTGTTTGAGATGGAAT